TCACAGCAACCCCACCTTTGCCAACTGCCCCCGCACCCCACTACCACCACCATTGCTCCCAATGCAGGAATCAGGAAGTGCTCCCTTACAGCAACCCCACTTTGCCACAAGTGTGCTATTAATTGGACAAAGTATTCTTTCACAACAAGCCCCCCCCCACCCCCTTCATACAGGAAGCTTGGCCACTAAAGGATTTACCCTACTTGGTAATAGCGTGAGGTCTGTCATGATTCACAAATATAGAGAAATATATTTACCTATCACTCCACTCTAAGGTGTCCATATCAAGAGCATGCAAATCATTCCTTCGTCTTTCCTGTTAAGATATAAACATTAAATAAACTACAGTTGGACCCCGCTAATTCAAACTCAGTTATTTCGAATTCCCTGTTATTTCAAACCCTAAACTATTTCCCTTGAATTCGCCCTTCAGTCATTTAATACTATTGGCTAATTTGAACTCCCGCTATATCAAACTATTTTTTGTTTCCCTTAGAGGTTGAAATAGCGAGGTTGAACTGTATATATTTGGCTGATAACATCATTGTCTTCCCTAAAGTTGCATAATTATATAATATGATGTCTACTCTTAATTGTCTCAATGGGATCATGCCTCTTGAAAATGCACGATTGAAATGTTGAGATTTCAACAAAGGGAAAAGAAAAATCAAGCTTCATAAAATATTCAACCACTGAATTTGAGGGACTTTTCTATGACTCTATGGACATTCAAGTAACTTTGTCATTGTTTTTTGGAAAAATAAATTAATACTGTTACCAAATATCTTCCACCAAAAATATAGGCAATATTTCCCAGTTTAGCTGCAGCTTGAGCRGCTCTTGGAGTGGGAGCTCTACCCTAGAAAAAAAAAGCAAAGCTAAAGATCAGGACCAACATAACGTATAAGTGGCAAGATGACTGTTTTTGTCTGTTTTGTTGTTGTGGTTGTTTTGCTGTGTGAGTATTTATTTGTTTAAGTTGCATACATGTAGCTCCATTTTAGATACCTTTTTTAACTTTAATTTAGAAGTTTCCCTACATACATCACAAAAAAAATCCTATTTTTAATTACCAAGAGCAAGGGTGGTACTAAGAGAATACCTGCTCAAGGTCTTGACAGTTCAGACCAAGTCCAGCGAGGTCTACCAAAAAACCCAATATCTCCCAGAACAGTCATGTATAAGCTTGGTTAATAAGAGAGTTATTAAACACAGAATGAAAAAAGATGAATCCCATGATTGTGGATCAGAGAGACACTGTAAACTTTAAGTGCACAATTCTGATTGCCAGCTAACTAAGTGTTTACTGTGCACTCATGTCTGACATTGTCACAACTGAAGAAGGAAAAGTTGTAGACAGTTGGATGATATCAAAAAGAATATTTTCCATAGATGCAATTTAAATTGTTGGAAAACAAGCAATAGAATATGACTAAAAAATGTACAGGATCATAGTTTTCACACAGTGCTCGGTCCACTTCTTGGAAAACATAGCACAGCAATAGGGCTATCTGATTGGTTGCCACTGGCACTCTGAACTAAATGGTTACTTGACTTTGTAGCCATTGGGTGATTCCGGAAAATATCCATACCCATACCACAGGTGGTATCTTGGAATTCTGAGGGAGAGAGCAGTTTCTTGGACTGGAATTCGGAAGGTATGGGGGGGGGG